TCTGGATTATAGATCATCAGTTTAAATCTGGTAAGATGGCATGCGAAATTACAAAATTAAAAATATGAAACTGTAATTTATGAAATACAGAACAATTATGATCTAAAGGGTATCAAAATTTACAAAAAGAAAAAGCTTGATATTTATTTGTTTACTTTATTAAACATTTCTTTCAATGTAAGTTGGTTAAATTGCTTTGTTTTACGTGATAATACTTTCTCTTTAATTCTATTAAACAGACATAATTTCTTGGTTAGTTACAAAGTTCCGCTGTTCAAGTCCTATAATTGCTGTGTTGAGAATACCGACTAATTTGTCAATCGAAATGTTTTCGTTTTCAATAACCTCTGGGTCACTTTCTTCACTATCGGAAGCAAATTATAATGACGAGGAACTTGATTTAAATCATATCAAAGACGGAGTACATCGAGATGAAATACTACACTTAGTAAGGAATTATAAGCCAAATAAAATAAAAACATCTGCCCTGAAGATAAGGATACTGCTGACAGATCAACTTCCAATCTGCGGCGTGAAATTGATAAACAGATTTCGGATTTTGAAACATACTTTCGCTTCTAGATACAAATTACATATTAGTAAATCTATATCGGAAATTCTATTTGACATAATCGAAAGTTCAAGCTTACTTTTATGAAATTGCTCTAACAGTCTGCAAAAAATAATAAACCGGATCTAATTCGAAGATTAACCCCTTAACGCATTTGCCCGTGTCTCACACGGGCGCCCTTGTATCTCGCGTTATTTTATTTCTAATGCTTGTCTGAGATCCGTTCCAGTAAAAATAAATAGGCTAAATTATAATTAAACCTTATCTGACCACAGATAGCACCACTATTCAGCAATTTTTCTTGTGTAAACCACGTGTTATGCATTTTGATGATTAACTATAAGTTTGCTAGGAATTCTTTGCTTATAAAGTAGTTGTTTGGTGTGGAAAAGGTAATATATCCATTTTTTACTGCATTAATTATCATAAAAGTAAACAGTTAACCATGCAAATTGATATTTTACTAAGTGTTTTTGTACCTTGTAAAGAGATAGTTATCTGATAATGAGCGACTCTGACGATGACAATTTTGAATATGCCAATTTATCAGAAAGTTCAGCGATGAGAAGTGATGATTTCTTGAGTGATGGAACATGAATCGGAAGATAATGACAACGAGCTTTTGGATGTATAGCAAGGAAATTGGTATTCAAATTAGTATAAATCAACCAAACGTTGCACCACCGAGATTCGATTTGAAGCTAAACCCTGGCTGTTGTTTTACTCTTGACAGATTACTATGATGCTTTTGTCATACTTTGAATTATTTTTTTATAACTCTCTCATGGACATAATTCTAACTGAAACAAATAGATATGCATTTCAACATCCAGGATCATCACAGAACCTAATGGTCACCGATTACCATGGAAGAATTATACATATATTTTTAGCCATAACTATACTAAAAAGGTATAATTAGAAAGGCCTGAGGTAAGGATGTATTGATCAAAAGTTGATGAAATTTTTCAATCACCTATTTTTCCGAAGCTCCTTAGCCTTTCCGCCACTATTCTGAGATAAAAATAAGATCTTCTTTTCTCTAACAATGAAAAACTTACGAATGCTGAGATTCACCCCCATCCCAAGCTCAATAAGATACGGCCTGTATTTGACCATATAAATAAAAAGTGTTCTTTCTCTATATACACCGGAAAGAGATATCACAATAGACGAAAGTCTACTACTGTATAAAGGGCGAATAAAATGGAAGCAATATATACCACTGAAACGAAGCTCGTTTCGGAATAAAGATGTACCTTCTTTGCGAATCAAAAACAGGTTACTTATATTCATCCATTATATATACCGGAAAAGGAACGAATATGAGCGATGCATATCGAGAAATGCCGGTATCAACTCAAGTGGTGGTTGTCACTGATTGAACCATTATTAGATAAAGGGGGTACTGTTTTGACGACTTGACAACTTTTATACTTCTCCACAAAATTAGCGGATTTCCTAGTAAAACGTCAAACAGATACCTACGGTACTCTGAAAAGTATCCATGAAAAGAAGTTCCATCTGAAATTGGAAATAAAAAATTGAAAAAGGGAGATGTTATAGCGTTTCTAAGAAGGAAAGTAATGGTGATGGAAGTGGAAAGACAAAAAAGAGATGTCAGTTTGCTTTCAACAATCCATAGCACACAGCAGGAAAATACAAGTAAAACAGCCAATAATGGTACTCAAATAAAGAAGCCGAAAAGTTGTAATTGATTACAACGATACAATAGGAGGCGTTGATCAGCTTGATCAGCATCTCCACGATTACCCAACGAGAAAACTAGGAAAAAAGGTACTATAATCAAATATTTTTCCATCTTGTGGATATATCCATATGCAATTCATTTGTAACTATATCAAAAAAATGGAGGAGAAAATGGGACCATTTAGAATTCAGTAAAATGCTTGTTGAAAAATTAATTGAAAAATATCATTCAAAAATGTTACCTGAAAGAACAGGTCAGGCCTGGTTACCAACCAACCTGGGCCTTTGAGACTAACCGAAAGACTCTTTCCCGAATTTGTATCCACTGACAGAAAAGAAAAGCAGGCCCCTTGTAGAAATTGTGCCGTTGTTTGTCGCAGTAAAAGATATGAGAGGAGTAAAAAAGATAAGGAAGGAAACAAGATACTATTGCAGGAACTGTAATGTTGGACTTTGTTCAGTTCCATGCTTCATGGTAAATATCATACCAAACTGAAATTTTTAATCATTCTTATGCAAGTTGCAAGTATGACAATTTGATTTTAATAACTTGAAATTCAAAATAAACATGTAATCAAATCGTTTTCACTTTGTTTGTATAAGATATATATATATTTTTAAATTAGCCTATACTTGTACCCCTGTATGTTGTCTTTCTAATACAAAGGAGCATAACAAAAGACAACTTTAAGTGAAATTATTCCAAAATTAAAAATAAGATTTTTTAATTAAATTTTTAGTTAAAAATTAATTTTATTTGTCGATCATGTCTTAAAATGCACTAGAGAATAAGATCATGCAAGAAAAAAAATAGGTGATTTTTTGACCGAAAATTAGAAATTAATGTGTGCCTTAAGGGGTTAAGGAACAACGCAATCTGCAACATTAACTAAATTAGATAATTTTAGCTTAGCTTAAATTACACATTAAACGCACATGCGCACAAACATATTCGCAGCCGTAAAGGTCTTACGTGCACTCGTAAATGCCTGTGCGCATGCGTGAACGCGACGCATGTGCAGAAAGTTTGTAGCTTTGAGGTCTGGATTATAGATCATTCCGGATTATGGGTGTCCGAATTAACGACTTCTGACTGTACACAATTTTTACAATAAAAGTATTGTTTATACTTGCATATAACATGCACCTATAATTTAAAACTATATAATGCACACCTGTAATTTCAAACTTCAATTTTAATTTTTTAGGTATATTTGCCATATACGTGCAACCATTTAAGAAGAAAAATTAAAGATATATGTGTGATGCTCTTATCTTTCGAAGTTATTCATTCAAAGATTTTTTTCGAGCTTTCGAACAATGGAACACTGAATTGATAAGCGATAAGAGGAATAATATGTGTCTGGGGAAAATGCTTGAAGAAGTAAATAATTCTGCAAAGAGCATGGGTTGCCTTTAATGAAGGTATGCACAAAAAAGTTATTCTAGAGTTTTGAGGAAGAGGGGGACATAATTTGAGATAAGAATGCATTGCCAACCCGAATGAATTTGCAGAATTAGAAGCCAAATATTTTCGTTTTCTGTAGTGATTTTGAAGTGAATATCAAAGGCTTTAAGCAAATTGCATTTGCTGAGGTTTGAAAAAAATCTCGTGTAGCCGCAACATTACTTCCATAGCTCGGCAGGACTTCGCTTCAGGCGGGGCTCTTTTTTCTAGGAATCCTCCCATTTAAACCAGTGCTACCAGAATCTCGTTTCTCAGAAAAGTCCCGTCTAGCAGGGACTGTAGCCATGTGTGATAACCGCTTTAGAAGAACCTGTTGTGAAATAGGTCCTAGAAAATTGCCAGAATGGATTAATTCTAACAAAAAATAAAGAACATATTATTTGCCTTAAAGTGGGGGGGGGAAAAAAGAATGCAAATGAAAGTAAAAACTTTAAAACAACTTTGAGTTGGTGTAATCAGTTTATGACATGGAATAATTTAGTTCTACGAGAAAAAACAAAAGTTTCACAAAGGCATCTGAAAGATTTGCACTACAAATTGATAAGTGGTAAAACTGGATATTATGGTCCAGTTTGGCGCATTTTCGAAAAATTGCTAAGTCGCCAAATCGGTTGTTTTCGCGCATTTTAGAAAATCGCTAACTCATCATATCGCCATATTAGATGGTTGCGAATTTGAATTAATTCTGTAAACAAGCAAAAAATAAATCATGTAAATATGCAAAAATATCTAAACAACCTGTAAACATGCAAAAATATGTAAAACAGGATTTCAAGTTAAATAACGAAAAAGGGGGAAGTGCAAAATCACCCGCTGCTTGGCGCGTTTTTAAGAATTGCACATACTCGGTATCCATGTACACATCGACCTATTTTCCCTTAAAAAAACATCCCAGAATTGCACAAAAATGGCAATGTGCACTCCCTTGACTTTATCCATATACACATCGACTTATTTTCACTTATAAAGTCAAAGAAAATTGACAAAAATCCAATTGTTCTTACTCTTGTAAAAAGCACCAAACAAATAAGTGGGCGATTCTGCACTTTAACCACAGTATTTGAAAGTTAATAACTATACATTTTAAAGGATCAACAATATTAAAAGTTTTCATAATATCATATACCATTTTTAAGGCAGTAGTAAAGTGGAGTAAAACATTTTATCACAAAATTTAAGAAATTGTAATAAGCAGTAAATGAGCAATAAATGATCGGAAAACATAGATTCATATTTAAGCCAAGAGGTTACCAGATTTAGGGCAATTTCGCTTCACTTGGCGACTGGACCGTAATCTCCAGCTTAGCCTAAGTTTCCAGAAGTATGTTATAGCTATATGAAGGAAAAAAAATATGCACTGTCAGATATTGGAAGTATGGATGACGCTCCATTAATGTTTGATATGACCGAAAATAAAACTTGATGTGAAAGGAACAAAACCGATTTACATAAAAACAAGAGGTGACAAAGAATCTCATCTCACCAGAGTACTTTGTTGCTTAATGGCCGTTACAAAATTCAAACCCATGCTTATTTTTAAAAGAAAGATGATGTTGAAATGTGATTTCCCAAATGCTTTCATTCTTTTTCATGAAAAAGGATGGATGGAGGAAATCAGCATAAAATTGTCGATAAGATATGCTTGGCAAAAGCATCCTGTTGCATTAACCCCTTAAAGCACAATTTTTTTTTTTTTCAGAAAAACTGGTAATTTTTTTTTTTTTAATAAATACATAGGTATAATATAATTTATTTTTTGCAATTTCAGTGCTGATAGGTGACTGGAGAGTGGGGGAGGGGATAAAAGATATTAAATATATATTATACAAACAAAGCGTAAACGCTTTGATTACATGTTTATTTTGAATTTCAAATTATTAAAACAAAATTATCATTTTTGCAAGCATAAGAATGACTAAAAATTCAGTTTTGTATGATATACCATGAAGCATGATAACTTCATGAAACAGATAACTTTTTCTAAACAATTACAAAAACACTTAGTAAAAGTTAATTTGTGGTTAACAGCTTACTTTTATGATATTAACGTAATAAAACTGGATATTTTAGCTTTTTCACACCAAACAACTGCTTTATAACAAAGAATTTCTAACAAACTTATAGCTAATCATCAAAATGCAGCACCTGGTTTACACAGGAAAAATGCTGCATAGTGGTGCCATCTATGTTAAATCAGTTTAATTATAATTTAGTCTATCTATTTTTACTGGAACGGATCTCAGACAAAATAACGTGAGATACAAGAGCACCCGTGTAAAACACGGGCATGTGCAAATTTGCCGGTAACTTTCGCCCATGTCCGACATGGGTTAATTAAAGTCTTTTAATTTGGAGACATATTTACATCCCATGTAATGGATAATATGATGAAATTGTTGAAAGAGTGTAATACAGACATGACAGTTATCCAGGTGGATTAACGTCATCAGTTTAATATTTAGATGTGTGTATCAATAAAACATTCAAAGAAAATTTAAAACAACAATAGAATACATGGGTGTTAGAAGGTGAACAAAAGGAAACCAAATGTATCATGCTTTTCTAAAAAGAGTGTATGAGTAGATAACAAAAGCATGGAATGAAATTAAATCCGACATAATTCAAAAGTCATTTAAAAAATACAGTATGTCTAATAATATAGATAAAATGGAAGATGATTATTTACTGATGGACCAGAATAACAATGATGGTAAAGATGAAACAGAATTTGATGTACCTAAAGATATAACGGATATATAGGTATAGTATATATCCATTATATCTTTAGGTACATTAAATTCTGTTTCATCTTTCAAACATAGACAAATGTATTTCATGTTATCCAATAATGAAAAGTTAAATGTTCATAAGGTAGGTGATTTCTTTTAATTAAACAGCAATTAGCTATGGGTAGAAATCTAATTTCTGTATGCTCATCCTTTCTTAATTTTTAAATCTATTGTTTTTACATCCAGCATATAACATGTACTTGTAAATTTCAGTCTTATTTTTTGTATTAAAAGTGCATGTTATAGACCAGAATATAGAATAATTGTTCTTTTTAGTCCGTAAAATTTACCAAACTCAGCCATAGGGGTTTTGATAACATGTAAATACAGGCTTCTTTTTTTACTGCTATCCATTTCGTGCTCTCAAAGTTTGTTCCTCAGAACCTTTGCTTGCTAATGAACTCAATTACTTGAAATCAGTTGCCACCGGCTGAGGATTTCCTCCTGTGGTCATTGATAAAGGGCTTAAAAAAATTTTCAGTTTGCCATCAATGAATTCATTCCACTGTTAGAAATGACATTAATAACCTTGTTGTGCTTCCATTCATTCTTCTGTCAATTGCAAAATTACATGGATTCTCCAAATTAATTATTGGGAAATTCATAACATATCTTGTCAGTGCGAATTGAGATATATCGGCCAGACTATAAGAGTACAAAAGTTTGTTTAATTAATGACTTAACTGCAATCCAGTCCTTCTAATGTTTTTAAAATTCTATTAACTTAATTTTTGCATTTTTGTTACTATTTCTGCAGACAGGTGGTGCTACCTTCTGCTTCACTTCATTCTTTTTATCTATAAATACAGCTCTGTCTTTCTCTTTTTTGCAGCTCAAATGCTACTACTTCACAGCAAAAAAACAGAAAAGGATGGAGCACACCATCAAAATTTGGCAAGCTGATCTCTACCCCACCTCCTCACCATGACAGCAACCCCCACAGAAGGATGTTTTAGCCATTCCTACATCAAATAAATTTAATGTCAAGCATAAAATTTCACAACAGTTAATTCTGTGACTGAGAAAAAACTACCATCGATTATATATCCAAAACCGAAGATTACCTGGAAGAAATTTGTTCTCAAAAAGTGGAGCTTCAAATTTCACAAGTGCTTTGACCAAAAGAAAATATTACCATTTATTGCAATTCTTCAACCAATCATGATTACTCACTAGCTGTATTCATGAAGAATGATATACAATTCAGCACTGCTAAATCAAATGAAGAGACTCCAATAAAAGTAGTCATCAAAAGCTTAATTAAGGATAACAGTAAAGATGACATTAAAGTTGAACTATGTGAAGCAAGACACCCTGTAATAGAGTTTTCCCAATTAAGAAGAAAATCAAATGGAAATGAAACAAAACTTCTGGTAGTTAGCTCAAAATCTGCTCAAATCCAAGTCCTTCATTGCAGAATTCTTTGCTCCTGATGAAAAATGACATGTACCTGTTTGCCCTCAGAATCAATATTCTTGACTAAACACAAGATTTAACAGAACACCAACCACAGTACTGACCTTGACCAAACACAAAATTTTAAAGAAATACTACAATTTTACAGATATTATGATTTTAAAATTTTATCAAATTCATGCCTGTTGCTGAAACAATAGTTAATAAAAAAACGCTAGCAAGAAGGGGAAGAAAATTATAAGCGATGGAAAGCTATGTTAAATACATCTATAACAGACATCTTCAAAAATACGACACGCATCGATAATCATTTGTTGTTTGCACTTTGAACCAGTCATGAACAGATTATTGTTTTTTAATCAAATCTTTCTCCTTCCTGTTTTCGTTTTATGAGATTTATTTTTACAGATTTAGGAAGCACTTCCACAGAGAACCCAGTAAATGTAAACATCGCCAACTTTGGCAATAATATATCAAACCTGGTAACCCAGCGTATTTATCGTATTCGCTTGTTGGAAGTGATAATTCATTTTGTTGAATTATCACTGTTGGTGTTTGCATTTGCAGATTTATATTATTCTTCTCTTATTTATTATTATTTTGGCTAATCTTTGGAATATGGTAACAGGTAGTTTGGCGATATTTTGTAAGGCGATAAAGGGGACTAGCTAGGACTTTAGCAGTGTACATGGATAAAGTCAGGAGTGTGCGCAATACCATTTTTGCGCAAATCTGGGATGTTTTTTTAAGTGAAAATAGGTCGACGTGTACATGGATACCTTGTATGAGCAATTCTTAAAAACGCGGCAAGCAGTTTGTGATTCTGCACTTTCTCCCAATTTTGCACCTAATCTTCGTCATGATTAAGTAGTTTTGTTCCATAAAAGTTCTAGCATAAGCGTAATTCGGCTAGCAGATTGTTGGAAAAAAATGTTGAGTAAAAAAAAATAAAAAAAAAAAAAAACATGCCTTTACTTGGTCGCCAAATTTTCGCCAAGTTACCATAATTCAAAGATTAATCATTATTTTTTCTGAATTTTTTAACAACGAATAGATAGAAATATTTTCGCATAATTAAAGAAGTTTTCGTCGAAAGATGCCGGTTCTCGGCTCGTCAGTTCGGGATCAAAGGAAGAAAATATGGAGGGAGGGGTGAATGCTAATTTGTAACGTGGCTGTTCACGTTATGTTCTTAATTATTAACAGCTGTAAGCGTGCAGAACCATGAGGTTTCCAACCCCTATAATAATTTTAAAATGTATTAAGTTCTAGTTTTATTAACAATGCTACTGAAGAAAATTTGATTACTGTTGAAGGTTATTTGTATTGTGAAATATATTATGAAAAAGGACAGGTATTTGTTTCAACGTAAAATGCTTTAAGCTGTATGCAAGTAACTTGAAAAAAAAAAAAAAAAAAATTTACTGAAAACTGTTTTGTAAAATGGATGTACTAAAGGTCATGCATTCATTAATTTATTACATGGGCATGGCTCTTACCAAAATACATCAATCAACAGGCAAAGTACTTAATAATAAAAAAAGACACTTGTAATAGAAATATTAGTATTCTATATGAATTAGAGAAAATACATATAAGTATAATGTAAACGTAAGTATAGGTGTGTTGGTTATTTAATTATGGCAAAGCACACGAGGGCTATCTGCCTAAGGGGAGAGATGCCTTCGTGGAGAAAGGGAAACTGGCTCGTATACACGTTACACATGGGGAAAACCACAAAAACGTCCATGCAGACAGCCCGTTCGCGGGATTCGAACCTCGGACCGAACTACCAGTGTTCAGCGACTTTACCGCTCGGCCGCTGGTGGGCCAAACGTAAGTATAAGAATACTAATTGTTATTTTTTAAATTAATTTTTAAATCCCGTTATGTTTAACACATTGTTTTTTGTGCTAACTTGAATTTAATACAAATTTATTTTCGTATATCACGTTTAACCTGTTAGTTTTAGCTTGGCGAGTAAAAATGCAACAGCGCCAACGAGTTCTCTGCGGATGAAGAATAGAGTACGAAACCAATGAGAAATATGAAAATTTGCAACATGATTAACTTGATACCGTTTTCAAAGCGCAGTTATTACCTAATACACAGATCATTATAGTCTACACTTTAAAAAATACAGGCGAAAGAAATTTCAGCTCAAAGACCAATCATTAAGCTACCAAACATAACTCTAAAAGAACTAAGAAACTGTAACAAGTAATACGCATTATCATTTAAAAATACCTTCTGAGCAATACGTTTGCGGAAAAATGAAGCCATAATGTATGTTTTATTTCTCGTTCATAGGTTATAAGATTTTAGCAATTTAGCAAAAGTAATCGAAGGAATATTAATTTACAAAATAAATACAAAAACACGTTTCTATTTCATAGATAGCGCCATATTAGATATTGCTGAGTTGTTCATATTCTGCATTTAGGACACACGGGCGGCTAATGATGTCAAAAGTTCCTGGCGCAATGGTCCTCTCTGATTGGTTGAATTTCTCCAGTTCCCGGCGGGTTTTAGCCGCCCGTCATCGGACGGTTACTCCAAGGGTTCGCAGTTTCCTCTACTACAAGGAGGTTAGAAAAGAAAGATGGAGGGTTTCTCCAACACCGACTCTACTTCAAGCCTAAGCGCGCGGTTCGAAAATTCGTGTGACGTCACGACTTCTGGTCATAATAAACTTCGGAACGCATGCAGTGGCTCTTTGCTGATTGCTGAAGCTTCTTACGTTGTGCGAACGCTGAAGCAGAATACTTTGATTTTTTTATGGTTTTAAGGTTGGATGTATTTTAGAGAGGTAAGAATACATTACTTTACTTCTGTAAAGTTATATTTTTCTAATTATATCAACGTTTTTAGGCGTATGTTCTAGTATACATGTGTTATTTCTGGTAGAGACAAGGCTGCTGTGCTATGTATAATTTCTTTTTGAATAATGTTGTGTCAGCCCATCGTAGAATAAACGGGCTTTGCATAATTATATTACCTGATCTGTTTCAGAATAAAACATTTTTTTATGGACCTGTATAAATTTGATGTTATAATATAAGCTAACACAGCTTATTCTTAAAATTTTACATGCCATTAGCTATACACTATAACTATTTACTCCCCTTTTATATTTAAAAATAATAATAATTATATTTTATACATAACTATTTACTCCCTTTTATATATTAATTTAAATAAAAAAACATTTCAGTTATTAAAATGCCGGGTAGATGCTGTGTACCATTATGTAAGGGAAACTACCCAACAGGACCAAAAGTGTCTGTATTCTCCTTTCCTAAAAATGAAGATTTGAAGAGAGAGTGGCTTTCTGCAATCCAACGGAAAGACTTTTCACCCAAAAAGAGTTCAAAGGTAAGTAAAGTAGAGTTATTAATTAATAGTGTAGATTCTAATTACATATAAGGGTTCATTCAGAAATTTTTAAATGATAATATTTTGTTACATAAACCAGGATATACAGAAATAAAGGGTTGAAATAGAGAGCTTTAATCACTGCAAATATTCTCTGGTTCTATCTGTGAAATGAATATTCTTTACTACTAAAATGCTCAGAATGAACCCTCTGATTTTTAAACTATTACTATTAACATAATGTTTTTTTTTTTTTTTTTTTTTTTAATTTTCTCTAAAGGTTTGTGAATTGCATTTCAAGGAAAGTGATTTTAAAGTTGAAGCTTCAGCATTTGATTCTAAGAATGGAATTTTAATTTCTGCTCCACTTCAGGTGCGTAGATTAAAAGAAAATACAGTGCCATCAATATTTAAGGACTATCCATCTGTATACAGTTCAAAAAGTAGCACCATTGTACGAGAAGATCCTGATGCAAAAAAAACTGCCCGCGAGTGCCATAATTTACAGAAAGCATTGCGTGAAAGCCTTAAAGAATATGAAATGTATAATAATGATTTGAAAATTAATTGTTCTAATGATATTTTGTCATGTATTGATCGCTATGGAATATCAGCATTTTGGCATGTATACACAGTTCCAGATACCTCAACTGTTTGCTTTATTCATATTGTTTTTAGTCCTGGGCCATCAATTGATTATTCTGTAGTTGTGAATGACAATCAAGAAATGTCTGTATTTATTAAAGAAAAATCTATTATGCAATTATCTCCTTACACATTCCCACATAAAGTTACAAATTTTAATGAAATTAGGACTGTTTTAGATAAATTGGCTAATCTTCAAACCAAAGAGTTAAATTCAAAATTAACCATAACAATTGATATAATTAATGAATTACTGCAAACTATCTCTAACGACAAAAATGAGAGCATTATTAAATTTTTGCAAGACCTGATGAATCTTTTACTTTGCCCTAAAAATAATTTTACATACAATCCTGATGTCCTAGTGTTAGCATGCTTGTTAAATACTATATCACCACATGCATATAAATTTTTAAGGGATAGTGGCAGTATTATTATGCCTCATCCTTCGACTTTAAAAAAAAATTTGTAGCAATTTAGTATTGTCACCGTGTAATGAAACTATTGATGAAAATTTTTTTAAATATATAAAAAATCGTGTAACTTTCCTTGAGGATCGAGAAAGAAAAGTGATTCTTTTGGTAGATGAAATTTATGTTCAGCCATATTTTGATTACAAAGGAGGCTCTGTCGTTGGGGCTGCATTTGATTCTTCCAGTCCGGCAACCAGTGCATTTGCTTTTATGATATCCAGTTTGGAATCTTCATTCAAAGAGGTAGTACATATTATGCCTGTTAACACAATAAATTTTGAAACATTACATTATGTAATTAAAAAAGTGATTAGAGGTCTTGAAAATATGGGAATTATTGTTATTTGTGTTATTACAGACAACAATGCAATAAATAGAAAAGCCATGAGTTTGTTTTCAAATCCACCACGTAATTCATTTGTTTACAAACATCCAATGAATGGGAATAGGCCTCTTTTCTACATAATAGATGCAGTTCATTTATTTAAAAATATAAGGAACAATTGGCTGAACCAGAAAAATCCTGGTACATGTATGTTTTTTCCAAATATTGAAGATCTTTCAAAGAAGCACTTCAAAACTGCTTCGTTTATGTCTTTGAGAAAGCTACATGAAATTGAAAATGACCAACTGATTACATTTTCTAATGGTTTAACTCTAAAAAGTCTTTCACCTTCTAATTTAGAGAAACAAAACATTAAACTGGTTCTTAAGATTTTCAATAAATTTACTATTGAAGGTCTGATTCATTTGGGTCCTTTGCATGAAATACCACACTATTCAGATACATCTGAGTTTATATCCATAATATGCAAATGGTGGGATATTATGAATGTTAAAAACTATGTTTAAAGGTATACATCAAAAGAGTGAATTTATGAAGCCATTAACAGCAGATGATTCTGATCCAAAAGTTATTTTCCTCAATCAGTTTCTTAACTGGTTAGATGCATGGGAATCAATGAAATGTTCAACAGGCATGCTTACAAAAGAAACTCATGCAGCTCTCAAACAAACTACTTATGGTATACTGGAGTTGACTAGATATTGTGTTGAAGAGCTTGGAATGAAATATATACTTCCAGGAAAAATTCAGACTGATGCTCTTGAAGCCCGGTTTGGTAAATACAGACAACTTTCTGGTTCTCAGTATCATATTTCAATGAGACAGTTATTAGAATGTGAAAAAAATTAAGAATACAATCAAGTATTAAGTTAGAATTGATTATTAAAAATACTACTGTCCCTTTAACATCATTTGAATATGATGATAATCTTCATGATATCCTAGTATCCGGTGCACACAGGATTTGGCTACTTTTGGCGACTTTATGATGAGCAGTAGAAACGGGACATATATGATGAGTAGTAAACGCGTCATTCAAAGAATATATATAGTTATATATAGCATATACTATGTATATAGTGTATAGTATATACATAGACGTTCTTTGGGTCATTTTTGGTGTTGGCGATAAGTTTCAAAATCGCACCAAGGCTGCACCATATACTAGGATTTTAAAAGTTTAATCCTAGTATCTGGTGCACAAGGGATTTGGCTACTTTTGCCCACTTTATGATGAGCAGTAAACGGGACATATACGATGAGTAGTTAAACAAGTCATTTTGATGTTGGCGATAATTTTCAAAATTGCACCAAGGCTGCACCGTATACTAGGATTTTAGCAAGACCTCCACGGGGCATTCCTCCTTTTCCTGTAGTGCCTAAAGGCGGAGCATGTAATAAGTAAAAGGAAAAAAAAAAGAATTGCACGAACTCTGTGTCCATGTACACATCGATATGTTTTCACTTAAAAAAGCATCTTAGAATTGCACAAACTAGGCATTGTGCACTGCCTTAAATTTGTCCATGTACACATCAATCTATTTTCATTTAAATAAGGAAGCTAAAACAAAGTTAAAACTATCATGGTAACCTGAAGCAAGGTTTCACTGCCAAAATTTAAAAAAAAAAAAATGTCGCTAATCAAAGGGGCACCCAATTCTACACTAGAGCCTGATTTTATTTTCTTAATATATATATATAATGTTTAAAAACTGATATCATTTTTACTTTAAACAATATTCCCGAAAATATATGCTCTCTTTTGTGAAATGTTTACTTTATAATCTGTGCAAAATATTACCATAAATAAAAAAAACTTAATTATTTCTTAAATATAAAGTAATTAAATACTTTTATTATCCCTATGATTATAAGAATTATAACTGAAAGGGCATAAACAAAAACACAATTAAAGGAAATGCAGTACTGAAAGTTTCTGGTTAGCGAATAATTTGCAACAGAGCAAGCCATTACAATACTATAAGAATTGATTAGTAAGGTAAACATTAGTTGAGCATTCTTCCACAGTAGCAATAAATTTTTCATTTATAATTCTTAAAACACGCCACCAAAACAGATTCACGATTGGTGCCTCTGATTTAAGGTCACACAAAAGTAAATTTGATTTAGCAGACCAAGAGATATTCCATGTCAAATTTACGAGAAAGATCTTCACCAATGTTAAGCTTATTATCTAATATTCATAACAGTTTGGTTAGTTGACTATCACAAAGCTCAAAAGTGCTATCTGCTCATGGTGAAGGACTTTCTAATGAGAACTGGCTTGTATTCACTTTATACGCAAAAAAAACTAAAAAAAAAAAAAACCAACCATGCAGACAGCATGTTCAGAAAAAGAACAGAAAATGTACTCTTAGCATTTAGTAACCTTAACCATTCAGCTACTCGTGGGTATAACTATTGTTCTAAGAGATAAGCAACAATTTTTCAGCAATAACTAATGTACTTTTTCACAGACAGAACTGAACAGTAAAAACTTCTTAAACTGTCGATTCAGATTCTAATTTAGTTTCTTCCTTTTAAAAGCAGGAGCTTCAAAACTTTCCTCATGCTGCTTTTTATTTTGAATAAGCCTCTTGAAAAAAAAAAAAAAAATCCATGTACAATCAAACATTTTATGATCTTTGTTTTGATATTGTAACAGGAGGGAATATTTACCTCATCTGATTTTGCATATTTATAAATTCTTCGTCCATAGTTATATTTCCACATATTATTTTGTCTTGAAAATTTTGGATTATTTTTTCACATAGAAAGCATAATTTAAAAATTTCAGGAGGACTTTTAAATCCCCCCTAAATTTGCAAAATTAATTAATTAATACTGCTAATTAAAACATATTTCCTGTTCACACATTGAAAATAAATTTAAAGTAACTATAGTTAGAAATACAACATGAAGGTTTACTATAACATAAAAGCATGATAATAGGATCAAAATGATGCATAGAATATTTAAATTAATACTTCTTCAAAATGCCTAGACAAATACACAATTTATTGATCTTAATATAACGAAAAACCTAAATAATTTATAATTTAGATCATAACTATGTATCCAATTTTTAACAAAGGTGCAAACCAACAGGTTTGGTGACAATACATCAAAATATAGCATGCGACTTTAAATTACCAATCGTAGAGTAAAATTGAAACACGAAAAGTCATATCACATTTCTAACCAAGCACAAAATTTACATGAAATGTAGTGTACAATTTTACAAACGATAATAAAAGAAACATCACAAACAGTATCGGCTATAATTTACTGCACAAACACACACACATTCCGCAGTTTATTTTGTATTTATAAAATCATTTGATCATTAATAAATGATAGTTAAACGAAAATGCACGTTTTAAAGAAATACGAAGAGTAATTTATTCTAACATTCTATGAGAAAATTCGATGCTGAACTTACCTCAAAAACATGCTTTTGAGACCGGAATCCATTGATTTTGACGAGAATTAATTATCCATTTTCTCTTCATTTTGGCGAAACGTCCTAAACTTATTTTTTGAATGATTGGAACAATTTGATGCAACACATCCACCCATATTTGTCAAATTAAGTCGGAATCGACCAACAAATATGTCAACAAAAGAACACTGTAAAATAGCGATAGCAACAAGCACGCTTCGTTCGTTACAACGGACGACGCATCAAATCCCCGATGACCACAACTTGTGACGTCACAAAACCGCCATCTGGCTTGTAGTAGAGTCGGTGTTGGGGTTTCGCAGTTTCCTCCACTATCGGGGAATGAAACTCCACCGAACAAGCGGCGTCCATGTTAGTAACTTCAAAACGCTGCATTACGGCAGTGAAACGTACGTGTTTTTAAGCTGTTTCGTGCATGTGTTTTCCACTAAAAATATGTAAAATTTATAATGAAATGCTTTGATATTGTTAGTTTTTTGTTTTAAAGTTATAAAGATGATATTCGTAATTTACTACGTACAGAAAATCATTAAGAAATAGTTCAAAATCTAAATGCATGTAATGCATGTTCTTTAATTTTTCAAAATTAAGATAAGCAGAGTTCTATTTTAAAGTAAAATACATTCTTTATCCTCTGTTGGTTCATCAAAATGTTATGAGAGGATTTTGTTCTACTAGAGCTTCCAGGATGTTCTTATAAAGTTCTGTAGATCTTCCAAGAGGAGGCTTATCTTCTAAGCTCAAAATTATTGAAATCACTGTTGATTCCTACTGTCCTATCATCATATACTCCTATTAATAATTATTTAAATGAACTCCCGAAGCAAAATATGCCAAGCGGGCATCTCGGTCCCGTCCAGTTACTTTTGAGAAAATAATTTAAATCAGACACACTCTATAAAACTTGCATTAAAAATAAAAACAAGGCAAAATTACTACCTAGTTTTATAAAAAGTTGATGCAGTTAATCTCATTTATTTCAACTGAAAAACTACGAGATGACCCAATACATATCCAATCATTGATAAAAACTTTATTAATATATGACAAAAAAATCTAAAACATAAATGTCAGACAAACATACCAGCAATATATGTTCTCTCATCTTTGCTGAGGAAGAGATGCCCAAGATCAATTTGATGTCCAATATGCGTTTTCCAAAATTGCACTTTTACACCCTCCGACTCAAC